CATGGTCTCACAGTGCAGCGACTTGGTGCTTTCCTCCGTTTGTGCTGGTCTCCACAAAATTTTTTACTTTCTGTATATATGCATACTGTATCTTCCCTTTAAAATTATCTAAATATTTCCTTTTATCATAAGAACTAGTCTTCCCATATGCTATAGTCATGATGGCCACGCAGTGTATAAAGACAGGAACTAATATTAGTGAGTGGTTACTAAATCTCAACAGTCCCCTAACTATCAAAGGAAACACTGCCACTCAAGTGTTCAGCAACCTGAGTAGCTTTGTCAAAAATCAGCTCTATGACTGATATATTTATCTATGTTTAATATCTTTTTGTAAAATGGAATAAGTACTTCTATCATGGTAATTTGTAAACTGATTTCATCATTAATAAGTGATATAATTATGCATATAGATGATCTTAAAATTGTGGTATAAGTACCTATCTCACTTGTATATCTTTTTTATATATCTGGGTCACATAAAATTGTTTCACATCAAAAAGGGTCAAGAGTTGAAAAAGTTTATGAAGCCCTGTGTTAGAGAAAGCCTGGGATGCTATAAGCTTTTCAGTAATCAATTCTGATGAGTGCTCAAAAACTAACACTGGTAGAAATACAACTGATTGAGCATATGATGGCTCACTCTTATAATCCCAGGGCCCAGAAGGCTGACACAAGAAGGTTGCCATGAGTTTAAGGCCAGCCTATATATATTTCTGTATAATCGAATCATGGCCACTTCTGAGTCACCTGCTGAGTGACTTGAATCCTAGAGAGATGAAACCTAGAGCCATCTTGGGCAGGTAGGTCACCCTGCCCAAAGATTTCCTTAAATCTCTGAATCAAATTCATGGTTTTTCACTTCTGAGTCTGCAGTGCATGGTGCTGTGCCTGTCCCTGGGATGCTCTGAGGGCATCTGTCCTGTTGTATTCTAGGGTGATCATCTTTATGCTGTTGATCTGGGACTTTGTTGAGCTTCTTTTATGCATGATTTCACTGTCATCAAACGAGACGTTTTCAACCTTGACTTCCTCGTGTTTCCCTCTTCCTTCTCTTCCTCCTCAGTCCAAGCACATGCGTGTAAGATTATTTGACATGAGTATATGGGCAGCTGAGGCACTATTTTTTTAGGTCAGTCTTGATATTTGGACGTTTCTTTGTTCCAATGGCAGGGTAACTGTCAAATCATCAGTTTCTAATTAGCAATTGGACCTAGCCAGTAAAGGTTTGAATTTTCCATGTTGTATTTTTCAGCAGAATTGGATTATATTTTCATATATCTGCTAAGATCCCTTTTAATAAGGTTTAACTTTTCCTCTAAGTCCTTCAGAGTGTTTGGAATCTCTTCTGGCAGTTGATTTTATATTTTTTCTTAATTAAAAAACTATTGTGTACCTGTGTGTTTCTGCATATGGGCTAAGTGCACATTAGTACAGGTGCCCAGAAGCCATGGGATAACCTGGAGTTAAAGGTGGCTATGGATCCTGGGAACCAAACTTGGGTCCTCTGCAGAAGCAGTACATGTTCTTAACCACCAAGCCATCTCTCCAGCTCCCTGGAAGTAGGTTTATTCACTTATCCTGATCATAGCATTTATTTATAGTTTTTCTTCTGATCTGGTCTACACTAAGCATAATCTTGAATTGCAGACTTTCTGAAGTCTAGGCTATTTTTCTTCCTTGTGTATTCCTTGTTAGTTTGAGACTCTTTTTAAAGTGGCTTTATATATTTTTGTCTAATTTTATTGTTTTGTGTCTATTTCATCAGCTTAATAGTAAGAGGTTGTTGGAGACCCATTAAGAATGGCCTGAATAGAAGTGGCATTGGTATTTTCACAGCTCCCCAGGTGACTGTAATGTGCATTTAAGGTTAATAACTATTCCAAAGATGGTCTTCTGGAAGCAATACTATTGGCATTTAGAGTTAAGCTATTTGCTATAGGATGACGGTCCTGTATGTTGTAGGATGTTAGGCAGCATTCCTGGTGTGTAGCCCCTAGATGCTAATAGTACTTCCTCCTAGTTGTGACAACCCAAATATTTCCAGAAATTGTTCTCTTCTGTGTTACCGTCACTCAAGGTTGAGGGCCAGTGTACTACTGATAGATCACTGCACTGCCTTAGGCTTTCACTGCACACGTGAACCAGCTGTGCCAGTGTACTACTGATAGATCACTGCACTGCCTTAGGCTTTCACTGCACACGTGAACCAGCTGTGCCAGTGTACTACTGACAGATCACTGCACTGCCTTAGGCTTTCACTGCATACGTGAACCACCTGTGCCAGTGAACTACTGATAGATCACTGCACTGCCTTAGGCTTTCACTGCACACGTGAACCAGCTGTGCCAGTGAACTACTGATAGATCACTGCACTGCCTTAGGCTTTCACTGCATACGTGAACCACCTGTGCCAGTGAACTACTGATAGATCACTGCACTGCCTTAGGCTTTCACTGCACACGTGAACCAGCTGTGCCAGTGAACTACTGACAGATCACTGCACTGCCTTAGGCTTTCACTGCATACGTGAACCACCTGTGCCAGTGAACTACTGACAGATCACTGCACTGCCTTAGGCTTTCACTGCACACGTGAACCAGCTGTGCCAGTGAACTACTGACAGCTCACTGCACTGCCTTAGGCTTTCACTGCACACGTGAACCAGCTGTGCCAGTGAACTACTGACAGATCACTGCACTGCCTTAGGCTTTCACTGCACACGTGAACCAGCTGTGCCAGTGTACTACTGATAGATCACTGCACTGCCTTAGGCTTTCACTGCACACGTGAACCAGCTGTGCCAGTGTACTACTGACAGATCACTGCACTGCCTTAGGCTTTCACTGCACATGTGAACCCGCTGTGCCAGTGAACTACTGATAGATCACTGCACTGCCTTAGGCTTTCACACGTGAACCAGCTGTGCCAGTGTTATACAGGTTTGAGTAACACAGAGTTGCAGCCACACATGCACCCCAGCTTGAGAGAGAGCTATATTTTAACATCATCTGTTTGCCTTATATTGTAGTCTGATGTGAGATGTCTCCTATAACCATTCATGTTGGAATACTTGGTTCCCAGATGATGGTAGTTTGGGAAGCTTGTTGCTACTTGAGGAGATGGAGTCTTACTGGAGGAAGTGAATTACTAGGGAACACTGACACTTTGCAGCTCAGCCATCCTTCTGTTCATCCTCTGCTTCCCTGTGTGGCTGCTCCGTCACCAGCTGGGCTGCTGCTCCCACCACTGTGCTGTCTCTGCTTGCCTCCTTGAGCCTTTTCACAGTTCTGCCAGAACTGTGAGCCAAAGGAAACCCTTCTCCTTTAAGTAGTTTTGTCAGGGTATTTATCACAGAGAAGAGGAAGTGACCAACTGATCTTCTCATGTATGTCAAACAATTTCTTATTCAGAGATCAGCAAACATCTTCTCAGTGCCAAGGATCAATCACATGTACTTAAGCAAACACTTTACCATAGAGTTACACTCCAGCCCAGCAAAATTTTTCTTAAGTGTCTAGATTGAAAATATTTTTGGTTTTATATTGCATAGTTTGCCAGAACTAATTAACTGTGCTATTTCAGTGCAAATAGCAACCATAGATGAAACATAAACAAATGGACAAGGCTGTGTCCCAATAAACTATTAACAAAACATCCAAGTATTTTGTGAAGAAAAATTGTAAGCTTGTCTCATAGCCTGCCTTCCCAACCAGTATATCAACTTCCTGTGTGATGTCACCAGTTGTTACTGAGACACTAGAAAAGTCACAGAAGGTCCCTCTTAGAATCTTAGTGTGATCTGTCCCTAACTAGGTATATATCCAACTTCCCAATGATTCTTGGCCTTGGAAATGTATTTGGTTGTGTGTTTCTTTCCCTTTATGTGAGAATGATTTGGTATCCTGGAGAAAAAAAGTCACTTATTTTCTTTTAGTAATTAAAACTATCAGTAAAGTTATTCTCATCTGAATCTCAAATAATAATCAGCTTCTATTTAATATGAAAAATCTCTCTTAAATGTGTCTTTTGTTTAATTTTAGTTTTTGCTTGATTTGTGGCATTGAGACAGGATCTCACTGTGTAGCTCTGACTGACTTGGAATTCAATATGTAGAGCAGGCTGGCCTCAAACTCAGAAGTCCTCTCAAGTTCTGGGATTATAGGCATGCACCACTGTGCCTGGCCTACCCACATCTTATGTTGGAATCTTTGTGACCTTTGACAATGACCACGTGGGGGTAGGGGGAAGAGAAGCTACCTGAAAAGTGGCAGTTCTGAGATGTGGTGTGATGGATGAAGCTGACAGAGAAGAGGATAGACCTCGGTCTGCTTTCTTAAAAATGAAGCTGTCCTTTTCTGAATTACTCAGTAACTGATAGTAGGAGAGGGCGTGTCAGTGGTCACCAGGCTAAAGCAGAAATGGGACAACCTTGGACCTCCATCAGGTCTAGTGAACGGTCAACAGTTGTTCAACTGTTCCTGTTTTAAGACATGTGAAACAAAATCTGCCTCTGGGCTGTCACAATACGCCAAATGTCCAAAGTCATTTTAATGACCAGACTTGCTTGCTGTGTTGTTTTATTTAGCATTGTTACAGAGTATATGATCAACAGCTGGATAACTCAAATATAACAAAATATATTTCTTTCATAGGAAAACTCAAGGAGAAGAAATATATATGAGTATTCAGATTTTCGGAGTGAAATGCACAGTCTTCACCAGACACCCAGCTATATGGGTTTCCAAACTTCATATTGTAAGCCCTATCCGAATTGCACCAGTAGAGATACAATCAGGAAGCCAAGGTCTCCAGTTCAGTACAGATATACTTCCACCGGTGATATGGGTGTCACAGACTTGGAACGTCCTCCAGGACTTTGGCCTGCAGTTTTCCAGTTGACTCTCAGTGACGAGATGAAGGCAGAGGTGTACTACTACGGACTCACTATAGTTTTCCTGCTGATATTAGTTTGTCTCGCTTTGTATCTTCTCTAATGTCAAATAAATCAGTTGTTTTCTTTATAACCAATTCTTCAGGATTCCATCTCTTCACAGGTGTGTCTCATTCTTTCTTTAGTGTTTTCTCACCAACATTTTCAAGGTAATTGGCTTAAAGAGAGAGAAAGAGAGATAATATATTTTAACAAAATTTTGGACACACTCTTAAGAATTAAAATAGTATTTTAATTTACTATTGGCTTTTTATTAGAAAATATTTCACCATATACTTTTGAAATACTTTTAAGATCACCAAGAAATCCAGAAGATGTAAATCTTTTTGATCAAAGATAATTTGAAAATTAAGATATATAGAAGGATAACCTATCCCATAGGAAACTGCCATAGTTTCATTAAATAGGGAACAATATATTTTAAAAGCTTTAGGCAACCTAATACACTACTTATCCAGTTTCTAGAACACACTCCCCAGAGCGAGGCACACTTTATGAAATGTGACGGACAAGTGCTTACCTTACTACAATAGGGACATTCCCCAAAGAGGACGTTAAAGCTCTGTCTGCTGGTGCTCAGCCCCCTCAGCCACTGCATGGAAGAAAGCGTGGGTCAGCGTCAGTGCACACATGCCTCCCCAGATTGACTCTAATTTTGTTTTATGAAAGGGAAACCTTTTCTGAGCCTATGCCCAATTACTGCTATATTGAATAATCGGGAAAACTTCTAGTGGTTAAGCAAATTATGGGCCCTTTCAGACCTGGCTGACAATTACACACTTACATGCAAAACAGACACACAGAGACTCATACAAGTTCCTATGGTTAACATATCTAAGCCAATGAATCACATGTCAATAATTTCTCTATAAAATACATCTTAGGATTTTGAGATTTTGATCTTAACAACGGGTTAATAATTTCCACTGCACTGATGACAAATATGAGGCAAGAGTTTTGAAAAATTAAAATGAACATTCACTATTGTAAAAGAAAGTAGAGAGTCCATCAGAATTTCCTAAGTAGACCTGGTAATTTTATGACTGTCTATGGTAAAATGACTGTCCCTCAGTTGCCTATTAAGAAAGGGTAAACGGCACCAACTACTCTACCTCTGTCAAAAGAGAAAGACTGAAAACGAATGGCACTTCCCCACTGTTGGGTGCTTTGCATGGAGACAGTTAATCATCTGAGCTGTGTCCTAACAGGAATGCTACAGGAATTAAATGACTGAGAGAGGAAAGCACAATTCATGTAGAAAAGATAAATAAAAAGCTGAGAGACACTCAGGTCACAAAAACCTTTGCGTATTCAAAAGAGAATTATTGTATTTATTCTATACTGTATGCAGCCTGTAAAGTAGTACGCGCTAACTAACTAATTAACTAACAACTTCCTTACTCCCTTCCTGCCATCACCCTCATCTAGCAGACCTAGAGAATTTGCATAGTGGTGGCAGACTAGGAAGATTCCAGTTATACCTACCACCAATTTATTATGTGTCAATATATCATGAGTGTATTATAGATTGTTTTCCTCCCTGGAATTCTCTGGCATACTCAATAGTACCCAAGATGAAGAAATGAAGCCTGTGAGCATGTAAAATTAACTAGTAACAAGAGTTTGTGGCAAAGGACGGAAATACTTCCATAAACAGATTTTAGATTCTGTATTTCATATGCACATGATTGCTAGTTTTACCTCATATAAGCATATTTGATGGAAAGGCTGTCCACACTGGGGATTATCACATACTTGATCAGGAATGGCACCATTAAGGTGACGGGCATAACAGATTCCACAGTCCATGCTAAAGTCCTTCAAAAGAAAAGTTTTTGTTAGCATGTCTGCTTAGTGTGCATATGGTAAGATTAGGAAGAACAAATATGACTACTTAACATTTGTTTTTATATCTGCTTTATAAAGTATGTTTCTGTATTGTGGAACATACAAGCAGGTTATAACACCTAGTCATTTACATAGTGTTCCCTTTTGCACTCAAATACACACAGGTTTCATTTTTGGCTGGCAAAATTTTTGCATTTTAGCAGTTTTTACATATACATAATCATGTCTGTGTATACACAAAGACAGATCTGACATCAGCTAGTGAACACCAAATTGCACATTTCTACAGCAAAAGAAAAAAACGTCGCCATCGTTTAATGTTAACAGCAGTGGCTCAGTCCAAAGTCAACCCTGCCTTCATTGTCTTTACAGTACCAATGATGCTGTTCACTGTTGAAAAACTACTGCTGTCCTTCACAAACTTACAGTAAGTTAATTAAAACTTTTTGTAAGTTAAAAAAAAAAGTTAGGTAGAAGAATCCTAACATCTCATTAATGTCTCTTTTCTTTCGTTTTCACAAATGTAGCTGTCATTAACCACTTGTGCTGATCATGAACAAAGCACATGTAACTCACCTAGCAGAGGTTAATAAGTTCATTGATGAAAATGTTACCACCTAGTAGAGTTTAACAAGTTCACTTATGCCAATGTTACCACCTAGCAGAGGTTAACAAGTTCATTGATGAAAATGTTACCACCTAGTAGAGGTTAACAAGTTCACTGATGCCAGTGTTACCACCTAGCAGAGGTTAACAAGTTCATTGATGAAAATATTACCACCTAGTAGAGGTTAACAAGTTCATTGATGAAAATATTACCACCTAGCAGAATTTAACAAGTTCACTTATGCCAATGTTACCACCTAGCAGAGTCTAACAAGTTCATTGATGAAAATGTTACCACCTAGTAGAGGTTAACAAATTCACTGATGCCAATGTTACCAGCTAGCAGAGGTTAACAAGTTCACTGATGAAAATGTTACCACCTAGCAGAGGTAGCAAGTTCATTGATAAAAATGTTACTTGTAACTGAGGTCTGTGTTACAACATTTCTCCAAATTTTTTTCACCCTTGTTTTTCTAAGAGAAGCATTTAAATTTTATTATTCACAAAATGTAGACTATTAAAGCAACAATTAAACTTACAGATTCTTCCAAGACAGTACGAGCTGGAAAATCGATTTCTAAAACATCTTTCAAATTTTGTAACAGACTGTTTTCTGGATCCCTGAAAACAAAGGGGAAAAAAATCCCTATAAAATTTGTTAGCCCATAGAACAGTACTAATTACATTGCCAAGGTACCTACCATAAATGTATGTTCCCACTCAGCTTGATTCCCAGCGGTTTTATCACTTTAAATAGTAAAAAGAGGGGAAAAGTTTTAATAATTTAGGCTTGGTTGTGCTTGTTTTGAAAAGACCACTGCTACAGTATTTGTTTATCTAGTTGGCTTAAAATCTAAATTATGTATTTAGTTAAAAAAGTATATGGTTCAGAATGAGAAAAGTATTTAAAACAATTGTAATATTAATATTTTGGAATATTTAACAATATTAGACAGGATTTTATGATTCTGTTCCAGATCCTTAACTTTAAGATCTCATACCATGGTCAGCTCCAAGAAAGCAAAACTCGGGAAGCATGGTAGGGTGCCTGGGGTCTACCTCTATGTTGATGGAAACATTATTCCCTGAAATGAAACAAGAAGGCCTTTAGATGTGGGCAGCTCATCAAGCAAGCCAATATAAACTCAGAGCATGCGGACCTGGCCACCTATTTCATTCTTAGGAAAAACTAGCCAAATGGGTTTTTATTTTTATTTTTATTATTTAGTGTTGTGTAGAAGTAAATATATCCTTGCTTAACACAAAAGTATTTTTGAAATCACAACCATCATTAAAGATTCAGGGACCTCAAGTTTCAAAAGACAAGACCAAAATTTATATGATTAACTTAAATTGGTATTCTGGTAATTATGTTCCAGTAAAGCTTAATAAAAAATTTCAGTGGAATTATAAAGGCCTTTAATATATAAAAAAAAAAATCATACACTTAAATAATGAGCTAAATTACTTTTCATAACTTTCTTTACAAACTTAGTATTTCATGTAATTGTGGTTCAAAGTAAGAAAGAATAGTGTTATACCTGGTAAAAACTGACATGTCTAAGAAAACTTACATAAAAACTTTGTGAATAATTATGCTTTATGAAAAGCTGAGTCTTTTCCTTGTAAGGTAACAAATGTTTAATTCACGTTAAACAGATGTTTTTCTTAATACTTCAAAGAAGCTATTTTTGAAGCTAAAAAAATGACTTCACTTTGCACTAGATTCTTTTACAGGTTTAACTGTACTAAGTATGTACAAATTCCACAAAGCTACCTACTAGTTGGTGAAGGTATGTGGTATAGTTAAGATCAATTTGGACTCATTTTTATAACAAAAGTGATATGATAAATTCTATAAGCTTTTTGCTAAAGTTGGAAATAATTAAATACTCAAATCTGGCAAAAATGTTCAAAGTGAAAACTTAATATATGGTTATAGCCATTCAATGAGGAAAATTACAGAATACACTTTTCATTAGCCTTGAGCAATGTTGTCTACTGCAGACCAGAAAGAGCTGTCTTTTAGGCCATGGCTGTAGAAACACATCTTTCAACTCCAAGGTTGGCCCAAAGACAGCAAATCATTGCCTGAAGCACGAAGAAGAACTAAAAGTAAATACAGAGCATGAATACAACTTGGCTGTTCGAGATGAACTATAAGAAATCTAATAGAAACCACGGTTCAAGGATAATTATTTTAATGGGGCCATGATGATAACAAATCATGACATTTCTCTAAAGACATGTTTTCAGTATTACTATCTACTTGTTGACAAATATATTATAATTGGTTGATTACCCCAAATTAAATACTATTAGATTTTTAACTGGAAAGTAACAATAGTGCTAGCAAAGTGCTGCAGCTACCATACTCTGCAGCCCTGCCCTCCTATTCTGCTTTATATAAAGTATAGAAGCTGCTCACTGACTTCAGTCGGATCCAGAAACTATTTCAAAATGTCTATGGGAATATATCCTTTACAGTAGCACTTAACAAGACTTCAAAAAAAAAAAAGAGGAAAATATTAAATGGGCAGACTGTAAGCAGATATTACCATAATATGGTGAGAAATATAGTTAAAAGATTTAAATCTTTACAAAGGTTGAACTCTAAAACAGGCTTTGTTTTGTTTGCTCATGAAGAAAATAGCCATCTGACAGAGGCTACAAACCACGGGACTGCACACATGCTCCTGTTTATGGGAGAGGAGGGCTCACTTGCCGCCTTATAGCATGACCCAACCCAGTGCCCTTCCCCCTACTTTTTGTCAGGAAGCACTGCCGGATCTTAGCTTCCACAGAAGATGAAGACATCATTATTTCTAACACAGGCTTCTGTTCTACGTAGCATCCATTTTGAATTACCTGCCCCACAATTTCTGTGCTAATTAATGTTAATTAAAACACTATCTGGCCGGGTGGTGGTGGCGGCGGCGGCGCACGCCTTTAATCCCAGCACTCTGTGAGTTCGAGGCCAGCCTGGGCTACCAAGTGAGTCCCAGGAAAGGCGCAAAGCTACACAGAGAAACCCTGTCTCGAAAAACCAAAAAAAAAAAAAAACACTATCTGAATGTGGCTTCTACTGGACCATCACCTTTTGGAACACCTTAGCACTTTTCACCTAAAACATTTATATTTAACCATGTAGTAATAAAAATCAGGTTTTATTTCTAACAGTTTCAATAGCTGACTCCATATAAAGAAGTTTCTTGTAAGATTTTCTTCTAAGAATTTAACTGCCATTTTCAAATTCATTTTTGCAAATAATATAAAATAAAATCAGACACCTGAAAACATGCTCATCCTCCTTCCCTACCTAATACAATCCTGCGTGCTGTTGCACTCCGGGGAGGCTTTTCTGGTTCCAGCACCCAGGTCTTCTCATCGATTTCATCCATAACATCCCAGAATGTCTTCAGGGACTCCAATGCCGCCATGAACTGACTATGGACGTTGACCAAGGAGCTCTGTGAAGAGACAGAAGCTGTGAAGTCAATGTGCTCTACAAATAGCAGATCAGTTTCCATTCAAAACACTCCACTCAGGCCTTTGGGGCTGTCTCACTTCAGCCAGAATGTAGACTGACAGGCTCAGTGCTCCCTACTGTACACTGTTTACCCCAACCAGCCTTAGCGTGCTCTTTGTCACTAGTCTACACATTATCAAGCATGGTCTCTGTATAACATGACACATGTTAGACATATGAACAGAAATCACAAAAGTGCTATGGGTGTGTGTATATATATATATATATATATATATATATATATATATATATGAATAAACTTATTGATGTTTGTCATATATAATGCATTGAGCATTATAATGTTACCAAAAATTATTCTTTTTGCTACAAAATGAAATTAAACATAGTGGTATTTAATAACTGGACTAGAGTACCTTTAAACAGTAGTAAATTAGCAAGCTCTGCAAACCTAATAAGTACAAAAGTATGAAAATGCTTTTTTGTTGTTGTTTTACTGGGCTGGGAATTAAACCAAAGACACAGTACGTGCTAGGCAAGGACTTTGCCACTGAACTTTATCTCCAACCAAGCTTTGCTTGTCAATAAATAAGCCATGATTGATTTTAAAATATAATTTCTATTTTTCTTTTAGGAAAGGAAAGCATTTCTCATAAAAAAAATGTGATGTATTTAAAAGATACAACTATTTGCTAACAGATTTTATACAGCAGTTTAAAAAGGATTAGGGTTTTACTGTTTCAAAAAACCAGGACATATAGCAAGTCTGAAAATAGTATAGATGTATTCATCCAAAAAAAGTGACAATGGAAGTGATGTGTCCCTGAAACGCTGTAGAGAGTGGCCTTCCTCACACTCACCACCGTCACTTCAGTCAATCTGTAGACATGTCCCTGAAACGCTGTAGAGAGCGGCCTTCCTCACACTCACCACCGTCACTTCAGTCAATCTGTAGACATGTCCCTGAAACGCTGTAGAGAGTGGCCTTCCTCACACTCACCACCCATCGCTGCAACAGTCTGTAGAGTCCAATGAATTGTTGGCTCCTTTTGCAGAAATGGTTTCATATTTTCTAAACTACTGAGCTTCAAGGGTGGGGTTGGAATATAAGAATGGAAACTAGACCTGTATGTCTAAAAATAACCTTTAGAGCATGAAGGGAGAATGTCTTTTATGGTATGCCACACTAAGGTACAAATGTAAGTAATAGAATTAAAAAAAAAAAAAAACCCAACTCAGTTAACTAAAATACACAGCTAGCTCTAAAATCAGTATACATGGGCCTTCCCCTTGTTCCATCTACACCTGCACCAGTGTATTTAAAACCTATGACTTATTTCACTGTTTACCTCAGGTTTAACCCCATTCAAAAGAAACGAAAAGGCATTCATTATTGAAAGTATTTATAAACACATTGGCCACTTCTCCTATGTACAAAAATCCTAACTGCATTTTGAACAATAAATACTTTTAAAATGAGAAAACAGCAGTTTAAGGAAAAAACGAAAAAAAAAAAAAATCCACAAGTAACCTTCAGACCAGATGGCGATGGCAGAAAAAGTGAATCTTAAGCCCTGGAAACCACTATGAGACCTTACCAGAAAGACTTTCAGAATTCATGCTTCAACGGCAGTTACACACTCACTCCAGGAAAGAAGAACAGTTCTGTTAGCAACCTCAGGGACACAGGAGATTAGAGTCAAAGGATCCCACCAAAGCCACAAAACAGATTCCCAGTTGTTCAATTTGACTGTCAAATCACACACAAACCCTTAGCATTAAATTATCCAATTAAAATACTAAGTTATTCCAATATGCTAGCAATAATATTTACACAAATGTGCCAAAAATAGTGTGGCCAAAGTTAAAGTCAAAACTCAGTAAGTATTACAAGGGAATAAGGTATCTATTTTTTTTTTTTAATAAAAGAAGCCAACTCTTCATTTTGTAATGTGAACAAGTTTAGATGTCACCAAAACCATTGCAATAGTTGATACATTGATATTTTGATAAAGAGTCTTGCTATCAACTTGAAATATGCAATATAAAATGAAAACTCAAGTGAAAAAACAGGTGAGAGCATGCTGGTAAAAGCTACACTAAGATGAAACAAACCCAAACCACTGCTAAGGACATACATCAACCTGAACTCTGGGCTGAGGATGCGTGTGACAAAGTCATACCCCTTTGAAAAGATGTGGGAATTTCATCTATTTACAAACTAAAGACATCCCCAGCTTATGATCTAGCAATTCCACTACAAGAGAAAAACCAAGCACACAATAGCACAGCTACCAGAATGCCTACTGCAGCCATATTTACAAAAGCCCCGAAGTGTAGAAGTCCAGATGCCCTGCCAAAGAAGAGAGAAAACTAACAGGAACAAACTCTAATCTTCACCATCACATGCATGAATTTCAAAACTACCCTGGGGAACAAAGCCTATGCAAAAGAGCAGGTACTCTGTCTGTTGAAATGATGTTTAAGAAGGTTCAATGAAGTTAAAGCCTATCAAGGTGATGAGGACAAACTGGTACCTGCCAGGACTCTGTTACTGCAGGAAGCTTTTTTGCAAATTGTACTGTCCTTAAACATGCATAAAATAAACTGCCCAGTGTCAGACTGTACAAGTTTGAACCAATCATGTTTCTTGGTGTAATACCGTCCCTTATGCACAAGGAGACATAATTACCTCAAAACTCTTCTCAAAGTACATGGCATTTCTTCCACAATTAAAGATAGGTTATCCTAAGGGCCTGGGGAGGATCTGGCATGGTCTCAGTAATACAGATAGCACAGAGGTCATCTAGACTATTAGCCATCTCCAGTCCTGTTTGTGGAAGCCAAGGGGAGCCATTTGCAGAGACCCATACATACCTCCTCTGCCCTCATGCTGTATATAAGGAGTTTCCAGGGTGGTTTGGTGCCTCTCCATCAGAGTTTATGACCCACCCAATCCATGTCACCCCAGTTAGGTCAACCCATTAAACAGGACAGTCCATAGAAAGACCCTTTTTTTTTTTTTTTTTTTTTTTTTGGTTTTTCGAGACAGGGTTTCTCTGTGTAGCTTTGCGTATTTCCTGGAACTCTGTAGCCCAGGCTGGCCTCAAACTCACAGAGATCCACCTGCCTCTGCCTCCCGAGTGCTAGGATTAAAGGCGTGTGTCACCAACGCCCGGCGAAAGACCCTTCTTTAAGTTGCTTTTAGTCACAGTGTTTTATTACAGTATCAGAAAAAGTAACTAATACAGAAATTGGTCCCAGAAGCAGGGTGTTGCTGTGATGGACTGACCATGTTGCTTTGGGAAAGACTATGGGAGGGTTTAGAACTTCGAGAACTACAAGCCCCTGAGTGCAGAGCTTAAAGGGCTGTGTTGTGGGAACTTAGAAGATCATAATGTTGGGAGAAACGCAGATAATGGAGGCCTGACTTGTGAAATTTCAGAGGAAAGCTAAGATGCTACAGGGATGTTTGTGAAATATTTTGTTTTAAGAATCTGTGGTTGCTGGTCAACTGAAGCTGAAAAATAATCTTTCATAATAGGATCGGAACTGAACCACTGAACTGAAACCTGTGCTTTATTAGGACAAAGGATGCTAGTCAGCTGGGGCTGAAAAATCAGCTTTTGATTAATGAGAGATCAGTAACATTGATGTGAAATATCTGGGAAACATTTTGTCAGGGTCAGGAACAGAAGCTATGGTCCTGGAGAGGGGTGCAAGGCTGCATCTCAAGTTGGTAATGTCTAAGTCATATACCTGATGCTGGTATTAGAGGGTGAAGTTGATGGGGTTGTGGAGAGTGGCTGAGGGGAGGGCTGGCACTATGTGGCAGGGTCAGTGTCCCTGAAAAGACTAATGGTTAGGGTGCAGCCTCTGCTGCAGTGGAGAAGCCAGGGTACTGGAGACGCCAGGACCATAGGGTGTCCAACAGAGACAGTGGCAGGTATGAAGTGGAGCTGTCCTGAGCCTATAAGACAAGCTGTGTGTGCTTTGGACGGCAGTTCTGGAGAGACGGGCCACTCAAAACCTTTGGAGCCGAGAATATCGTGAGTCTCGAGACACTGAGCTACAGCATTTGGATTTACATTGCTGGAGTTTGGTTTTTGCTTCAGTCTAATTTTTTCCTATGTTCTGGTACTTCCCTTTTGGAATAAGGAAGTGTGTAACTTGTTTTCAACTTGATAGAAGCCCACAGTTGAGAGACTATTTACTTATAATGAGACAACAAACTTTTAAAGCAATTAAATTTCTTTAAATGGTGGGACTTCTACAGCGGTATTATATTCTATATTGTTTTATTAACATGATATCCTGAGGACACATAAGAAAGGAAAGGTTAGGGTTTAACGATGATGAGTTCGTCAACTTAACAAGAGATCAACTGTCCTGGTTGGCTTTTATTTTCAACTTGACACAACCTAGGTCACCCAGGTTGAGGGACTCTCAACTGAAGAACTAGGCTATCGGACTGGGCTGTGAGCATGTACGTGGGGCATTGTCTTATTTGCTAACTGATGTAGGAGGGCCCAGCCTACTGTGGGTGGGGACATCCCTAGGCAAGTGGGTCTGAACTGTGTAAGATGGCATGGAATATGAGCCAAAGAGCAAGTGAGCAGCTTTCCTCCGTGGTTCTCACCACTGCTCCTGTTTTAAGTTCCTGCTCTGACTACTGTCAATGATATAAGACCTAGAAGTGCAGGCTGGAGTAAGCCTTTTCTTCTCCAATAATTTACCATAAGCAACAGAAAGCAAACCAGGATACCTACACTTAAAGCTACTTACATATAAAGATGTACACATTATTGGCTAGGATCTTGTTTGTCTCTTTTCTGAATTTAGATGTCCTCACTTAATGTTAGATGATCTAAGACCATCCACTTTCCTGCAAATTTCATGAGAAGTTTTCACTTCTCTTTACAGCTGAAACTTTCACATTTTTCACATTCTTCTCTGCAAACTTTCACATTTTCATTATCTATT